ACTACGACAAATCCATTGATAAAATTGAAGTTTCAGAAGTACAGTTTACATGAAAGCCATAGATCTATCATGATAGTTACCCATAAATTCCTGTACTATGGCAAATCCATTGACAAAACCTGACTTTTTATTTTCAATTTCTATTTTCAGGTGAACCCTGGAGCCATAAACCAAAACAGATTCTCAACAGAATGACAGAGATTTCAAAGTCATGTAAATGAAAATCTGATTTAAACAAGATTGACAGAAGTTCCAATTCTTTGGAAGAAGCAGTACACGATAAATGAAATATAGATTATATTTTGTTTTGGTGACATGATGCTGGCGACTATGAACAAGTTTTTAACGAACGCAAATACAAACATTAAGGTGTACATGCTGGCCTACCTATTTCTGCTGAGTGTAAAGAGTTCTCTCGCTACAATAACCTACAGCAAAGCTTCCCCGTACTGTCAGTGCTGTTCTGGACCTCCAGGTACCCCCGGGGGTCATGGCAACCAGGGTCTCTCTGGACCCAGGGGCATGACTGGATTTAAGGGGCAGAAGGGGGAGATAGGAAATTCAGGAATACCAGGTAACTCTTTTTATCTAAAACAAATTCTGTGAAACATGGAAACCACTAATTGATTTATATTTGCTCTAATTGAACAGTAAAATTAATATGTAAATATGATACACAGAGCAACAGAGTCATACTAATCAGTTAATTGTGGTGTAGAAGTAAGTAAAAGGGGACAAAGAAGGATGGAAAATAATATTCCAATCTTTTACAACATATAATAGAGATATGATGTAATGGTGGAGTACTAGCTTAATGCCTGATTTCTAATTGTTATGTTTCCAGGTCCTCAGGGACCTACAGGAAAGGCAGGGGATCGAGGCAGAAGGGGTAGAAAAGGACTGAAAGGTGAATGTGGCGTCCGAGGAACCAAAGGGATGCGAGGAGAGGTCGGCCCTTATGGTGTCATGGGTCAAAAGGGGTCAAAAGGTAACTAAGTTAGGTGATATTTGAAAAATGATTCCAATGATATATGAAAGCGTATCATTATTTTCATTTTTCATCTGGAAAACTTACATGGTTTATCCAGTTTAGAGTTCAGAATTTGGTCAATATCATACAACAAATTACAATACTTGGTTATTATCATCCAACTATCATTTTGAGGTATTAATGAATAACTGTATTTATGTGTTTGCATATATAGAGGTAAGTATTTTTATTCTTATCGTGATCAATTACAACTATTGGGTTATCCCCAAAGTAATTAAAAAATTCTTCTCACATTTAGGTATGGAAACAGGAAAGCAAGATATTAATAAATATTGGGGTTAATAGAAATATTTGATATAGTGATGTATCACAAGTCTTTTACATCATGCTACAGTCACATTGGGTTGTTTTTCTTACCATTTCTGTTAATTTTTCACAGATGGAGAATTGTTCAGTGCCTCTAAAAGTAATATTGATCAACTTGTCATGTTATGGAGATCTCTAACAATTTTTTGATCTCCGCATAGAATTACTTTTGAAGTCAATCCCATAGGCACAATGTGAAATTTTTGCCATAAGAAATGCTTTGGCCAATAAACTTCATATCATGGCTGAAACTCAAAGAAATGATGATTATATTAATTTTATAATAAAAGTGCTGGAAAATGTTCTAGTTGTGTGCTGTATTTCATCAAAATGGGGCAATAAAAAAGTCAGTAATTGAAAAACTTATTTTGCGAAATTTCCTTTGTCAAATAGAGGGCAAATAACTGAAAACTGAAAACATCTCACTAAGCCAAAATGTGCAGAAACAGTAAACTCAGCTGTGAGAAAATATCAAGACATTTCCCCAAATAGCACTCTAATATAACAGGCAGTCAGAGGGGCGGATAATATGTTTAACCATTCAGCCCCTAATTAAGCATTTGTTAACTTTTTAAACATTTTAACACAGGCGAATCTGGAGAGCTGCGCAGACAGGTGGCATTTTCAGCCAGTAGGACGTCCCGACTTGGTCCAGTTTTAGAAAATACCATAGTGATATACGACAATGTGTTCACCAATCAAGGTGACAGCTTCGATCCCTACACTTCCACTTTTATTTGCAAAGTCAACGGCACATACTTATTTGCTGCCCATGTTTTATGTAACCTGGATTCTGATGCGTTCGGCTGGATAATGATGAACGGAAATTATGTGATCCCTATGCATGGCGACCAACGCGCTGGATATGGGACAGGCAGTAATACCATTATTCTACACCTTGTGAAAGGCGATCATGTCTGGATACAGCTGTCGAAAAACTCCTCTCTCCTTAACGACTATTCAACATTCTCCGGCTACCTGCTATATGCAGACTGAATTGTTCATTTAAAATTGTCGTGGAAATGTTCCTTAAGTCAACAACATGATATTATTTCTGCAGAAAGTGCATCAGAAAACACATTCATAGTTTCTGCAGAAAATGCATCATTAAAAGATAATTCAATGTTTCTATAGAAACGGGACCTGGAACTTATGTAGTTGATAAATCTAAGTAACAATGTTTAGAGTATCATTTATAATCTAAAATCAGTCATTATTATCAAGTTTAGTTCCAAAGCAATTCAAAACATAAAAACAAAAAGAGAGAAAAGAATTGAATTGATTGAAAAATCATAAAAATACTTGTTTTCATGCATCAAACATATTTGTTTGTCTTCAGCAGTGGGTTTGTCTCTATACAGGACCATATTATAAAAAAAGGTTTTATATGACTATAAACAATGCACATGTTTCACATTTTCATATGTTTCAAAATACTTTTCATGTTAAGATTGTAAAGAAATGAAAAGTGTAACCGTACATTAACTTTGCCTGTTTCATGATATCATTATCTCCCCTAAACCATGCCATTCAGTAATAATATTAGAGAATTACAATTATTTCTTTAATTTCAATTTCAGTTTGTTGTCAACTGTAAAATCAAATTTCATTGGAGTAAAATAAATGTTGTGGTTTCTTTACGAAAACAACTACATAATTTTTGTAGAATTGACATTTGTGGGGGAAAATATATATAAAAAAATGTGTTTCAAATCATGTTCTGCTTTAACCAGGATATAAACAAAAAAAA